CACACACACCCCCTCGTTCAATCAGACAGCATAGGGCATGGGGGGGGGGTCCCAGAAAATGTTTGGAAACCGCTGGGGGGGGCCCAGGAGAAAAAGTTTGGGAACCACTGCCTTAATGTATGGCTGTGTGTCATCAGCATAGCCGTGATACGCTCTTATTGTTGTGTATAATCTGAATGAGTGGAAGCATGTAAAATCGAAGAGGAGAGGACCTAGGATGGAACCTTGGGGAACTCCACAGATAGTTTTATTCAGCTTAGTTGCCTATTAGATCCTACAGGGTGGATTTGAGTCAGCTGAGCGCTATGCCAGAAATACCAACCCAATTTTCAAATGGGAACAATAACATCCTGATCAACTGTAACAAGCGCAGCACTCAAATCAAGTAAATTAATACTGATGGATTTTTATGAGCATTTCAATTCTCAATTTATGTTGTACTATGAACCTTAAGTTCTTATATATTAGTCCATCATCACAAGACAGTTCTTCTGTAAATGTCAAGTGTTTCAATGGCCTTTGCAACCAGTTTTAACTCAGGATCCCCTTTTGTTGCTTCTTTAAACACCTGCAACTTTTCTTCTGATACAGGATGTTGTTGACAGTTGATCTCCAGTGTCTCGTCTCTGCTCAGAGCATCACAAATATGCAGTTCCTTTGTGGATTTGTACTTGACTTCAAGACTGTATTTCTGCAGTCTTGTGAGCATTCCTTGTAATCTTGCTGGAGCACCAAGGAGGGATTTTTTAAATATCACCTCCAATGGCTCATGATCACTTTCTACATGATATAGATCCATATAGATACTGATGAAATTTTTCACAACCAAACACAATTGCAAGCATTTCTTTCTCAATTTGAGCATAACATTTTTCAGTTAATGCTGTGGAGCCATATGCGACTGGTCGTCCCTCTTGGAGAAGCTCAGCTCCCGGCCCCTCAGAGCGGATCATCTATCTGGCTTGCTGACATCGTGGCACTTCAGTACTGATGCTTGGCTGACAAGAGCTTTTCGTTTGTTAAAACTGTGTTGTTGCTCTGATCCCCAGTGCTGTTCCACATCTCCTTCCAATTTTCTTAAGGGAGAACTCAACTCTGAAAGGTTGGGGATAAATTTAGAAAGTTATTGCAATAATCCTGTGAACCTCTGAAGAGCAGGTTTGTCCTCTGGTGCAGCTGTGTTTTGTATGGCTCTAACCTTTTCAGGGTCTTTTCCCACTGAGAACATGTCTGATGTAGCTGATCTCCGTCATCCTTATCTTGCCTTTATTCAGTTTTGGATCAATGCTTCTGAGACGTTCTAGCAGGCGTTGGTCATGCTGCTCTATGCTCTCCCCACACCAGAATGTCATCTATGATATTGACCGCACCTTCTAAATGTCTGGCGATAGGCCTGATGATGTACCAAATGGTATATTTTAAACCTGCATCTCCCAAATGGAGTATTTAATGTACACAGGTGAGAACTTTCCTCATCCTGCTGGATTTGCCAATATCCATGGTTAGCATCCAAAACTGAACAAAATCTGGCATTTCAGCAACCACTTCTTGAATGGTGCACAGTGGGTAATGTTTTCTCTTGATGGCTTTATTCAGGTCCTGTGGTCAATGCAGATCCTTATTTTATTGGGTTTTGTTACTGTGACCATGCTCTTCACCCAATCTGTTGGCTCTGTCTGTTTGGTTATCACACTCAGGTTTTCCATTCTTTTTAGTTCTGCTTCAGTTTTATCCTTCAAGGCAACAGGTACTTTTTGGGGAGCATGAACTACTGGAGGGATGTCTGGGTTTGTCTCAATGTGGTACACTCCTGGTATGCAACCTAATCCAGAAAATAAATCGTCATATTCCCTCAGAATCTCATCCTGTTCTTACAAGTCCCATTTTTTTACTTTACTCGCCTCCAAAAATGGCAGGTTTTTATGACCTCAAATTCCAGATCATATTTTTTATCTTTATACTGACATGTCAACATAATTTTGCCTTTTGCTGAAACATGGTGGCCTGCATAAGCAACAAGCTCAGCAGGAGATGTGCTCACCTTTTTATCCACTCAGCTTTCTCAGGTCTTTCATGGAAACAACATTGCCATCAGCTCCAGTGTCCAACCTGATTTTCAAAGCTTTGTTGACAATCAGATCTTCATGCCATTTTTCAAAGTCATGTTACTTTGTGACACTGTGTGAAATGAGTCAATAAAAATTCATCTTCTTCAGTTTCTGCTTTGCTGCACTTTCAGGTTGTTTGTGTTCTTACGTGATTTGCTCATCCTTACATCGTGATTTTCCCCGTAGCAAGCTTTAAACACTTGTCCATAAGCAGAACATTTCCTTGGATCGTGTTTGTAGAAACATCTAATGCAGCTACACTGTGCTGTGGCTCCACTGTCTGTCTGTCACAATGTTTTTTCTTTGTGACTTTATTAACAGGAATGTCAACCTCCTCATGTAGACTTTTAAGTTGACTCCAACTACACTCTCTGCAAATGTCTACTGCTTTACCCAGAGTGAGATGAGGTTCCCTTTAAGGTGATCATCAGATTCCACTCGATGGCAACTCGGTAAGGGCTTCAAACTCACAGTCTTCGTCTTTAGTCTTTAAATCAGTCACATGTGAATCAATGGTCTCTGATTTATCTTGCACTAGAGTGCAGAACAGGTGCCTCAAATACATCACATTTTTCCTTGGTTCACAATATTTGTGGAACAGCTCTTTCAGTTTACTGTAATCACTGGCGTCCTCATCAAAATCAAAGGTGTAGCATACCTCGATGGCTTCGTCTCCGGATACATGCAGAGTTCACTGCATCGGACTTTCCTCAACTCCGCTGGAGACAAGGTGCAGGTCTCTGGATCCAGACTCTCCAGTTTTCAGCTAGATTTCCTTCTAGACCAGGGGTGGGCAACTCCAGGCCTGGAGGGTTTCCTGCAACTTTTAGATGTGTCTCAACTTTAACACACCTGAGTCAAATAATGAGGTCGCTAGCAGGACTCAGGAGAACCTGACTGCACTGAGGAGGAGATTCAGCTGTTGGATCCAGGTGTGTTGGACCAGGGAGACATTAAGAGCTGCAGGACTCGGACCTCCAGGATCAGGATTGCCCACCGCTGGTCTAGACTTAAAGAGGTTGGAGGCTTCATCTGCTCTATTTGCTTCCTTCTACAAAGTTAATCAACTCTCTGTCTTTAACTCCTGACTATGGTTGCCACCTTTCAGAAATTAAAATAAGGGACCAGTCCCTTTAAATATAAAGGTGTATGTGTGGGGGGAGGGGGGGAAGCTACGGCAGCAGTGTGTTGGTTAGTCTGTGTTACCCAGAAAGCAGTTGGGCACAATATCGCAACACCAACACCATGAGTCAAACAATGACTGGGACTATATAAAGAACTCGGGGACCACTTTCTTTATTACACAAACACGTTTGTAGAATATGGAACAAATTGCATTTTATTTATTTATGTAAAAGAGAAATTTCTGTATCAATGTGTAATGTCATAAATTGTCCCAAGTAACAACATTTTTCAAGAGAAAAAAATCGGTTCAACACGGGACAGGTAGCAACCCACCATGTAGCATTTTAGTGAGACGGGACGCTGTTTGTGCTCTGTTCTTCTGTGGCGTTTACAGACTTGGTGTATTACTGCCATCAATTGGACGGAGGTGTAATCCAGAAGTTTTATTTATCCTATATCTTTAAAAAAAATCCTATTATATACATACATATACACTCTCACACACATTGTGTCTTTTAAATGTTTAATAAGTGCTTGAACTATATCTTGTGATTGATGCTTCCCTAATAAATTAGCCATAGTTACTGAAATCCCCATTACCCTTTCCACTTCTTTCCCCTCTCTCATACATTTCCTACAACGAATCAAAACATGTTCTACTTCTATTTCCTACAATAACAACAATCACCTGATGGATGTTTTCTTATAAATTTTAAACTGCTGTTTAAATTAGCATGCCAAATCCTCAACCTACTTATTCATGTTTGTAGTCTGAACTATGGTCTGAACAAACGTTTCTCTTTTTATTCGTCACTTTCTAGTCTCGTATATTGATACATCACAGTGCCACCTACTGGCTGCACCAAATAATTACAATGTTTTCAATATACGTGACAGGGTTCCCTTTAAGCAGTGTTGTGGTACTCGAAGTTGGTCTTGGTCTTGACTCGGTCTCGACTTTCCTCGGTCTTGGTCTTGACTTGGTCTCGGACCCCAAAAGTCTTGGTCTTGTCTCGGTCTCGGGTTAGGTGGTCTTGAACACAACACTGCCTTTAAGCAAATTTGTTTTCGAAATTTCAAATTGCGCAGTTCTACGGTTCATGGAAACGCAGCTTCTGTGACAGAAGTCATTTATTGACAGTGGAATAATTATTCTTAGCCAAACTAAATGATAATATTTACCAATAGCCAGGGGCGCCATAATGGGGGGGAAAGTTAGGTCAATTCATTATTATTTTTTTGTTCATTGAATTTTTTTTTTTTAAATGGGACCCTGCCAATTACAAAATTAATCATATTGTGTTTTCTAAATTTGTTTTTAGCAGTAAAAATCAAATGTTGCCCCTCCCAGAC